GCGAAAGGATGAATATGCTTGTACAACTTAGGGATAACCTAAAGAATTATATTATCCAACGAGGATGCAATCATAACACCTTGCTCATCACATTTATGAACTTGAAGTCTAACAAGTAACGATCCCAACACACTTCCGCATAGGGCTCCCGGATGGGTGGCTGTGCCTATCGTTATTTGTGTATGAACTTTAACAACACGCTTCACCATTTGGGATCTCATTTATACAGTTTAAGAAGTATGGATCTCAACACATTTCCGCTTGTGCTTAAACCCTGGATAGGCTTTCCTACGTTGCTTAGACTGCGACAAAAAATAAATTAGTTACAAATATGACACAATATAATGTCATATTTTAAAGAATAACACGGTTCTCTCATATAAACGACTAGGACGAGCATGTTCTTTCATGGTCAGATAGTCTTACTTCGACTGCACTTATAAGCTTGGTTTGTGGCCCATGCTCCGTAATCGAAGGCGAAAGTCCTCCTTGCTTTGCCGTGACAGACTGGTTGATCAGGGTAACCGCTACGGTGGAATAAGATTCCTCTTGCCTTTTAGCAAATAGGGAACCGTACTTATTTGAGGCTTATCGTTAAGAGTGAGTGTCTTATCCGTCGAACCTCTACCTGGAATGGTTGTGTTGCGTATGTGGCTGTTGCTGTGGTGATTGTGTAGTCTACTACATCAATCTATTTTAACCCACTTAGGCTGCGTTACCGAAATGCAGTTTCCGCATTAAAACTATTTTGTATTAAAGCAGTTTGACCTCCATGATTCCTGATGTTTTCTTTTCCATGGCGCTCATACTCAAGTTGAAGAGTTTCACTTTCAGGCGTAGATTATGGCTGAGGTCTTGCGGATTAGCCCCTCAAAGATTTGAGAAACACAGGTACTATAGGCTGCGGAGAGTGAAATTCAATAGGGAAAATACATGTGGTGTCCTAAGTCTCACCTTGCATTGTGGCTTCAATAGCTTCAAGTCGCTCTTGTGCATTTTTAAGCCCGACTCTCGTACTTGGTCCTGTTGTTGCTGTGAAGAGTTCTATATATTCAGGCATAATTTGGGGTTAAGTTCGCCTATGAAATCGTATGAGCGGGCGTAAGCGCAAGCGCAAACGCTTTAAGCCCTCCCCCCCCCCCGCTAAAAACGTTCAAAGCACTTAAACCAGTAGTACCTTTGGCGTCCGGTTTCGACAAGTACTTGCCAGCTCCCCAACTTTCAGGAGGCCGAGCCCGACGTTGATCAATCTGATCGGCGACCGTCGTTTCGTTTCGGCCTCCTGAAAGTTTTGAGGCCGAGTATTTTCGAATCGAAAGAGGTACTAGTGCTTAAAAAAAAAACCAAAAAAAACAACAACAATGAAAAAAGAAGCGTGTGCACCTGAGGGGGTTGCTTGAGTGCAGGGGATGCAGTAGAGAGGGTTGCGCAAGTGCAGAGGATGCAGTAGGGATAGTTGGGCGGGAAAAAAAAATAGGGGGTTGGGGGTGGGTGATTTTTTTTTGGGGGGGGGGGGG